CCCCCCCCCCCCCCCCCCCCCCAACCCAACATTAACCCCTACCTTGTTATCAATTGACTTTTGTTGGGTTAGGGGAGGGGGTAGGTGGGCAGTTGCCCAGATACTGAAATTGATCCTTCTTCTTCACCCGCCCCACCATCAATATGTCCCTATCTCCATTTACATATCGGTCTATTCATTTTTTCCACGCTCGCAGAAAAGATTATAAATATTTTGTAATCTCTTGGCTCTCATTATTTAATACATACCAGCCAGTTATAAAACTGACTATAACAGTGGTGATTCGCAAGTCTTTGCACATGGTTTAGATTTTAACTTCTGGATCCTTTCCTACAGGTAGCGTATTTGACGAACTGACTTACCGTTTTCTGCTTTACTCGCAATTCGTCCTGGGATATTTACATTCTTCACTTGGAAGTGATAGATTTTTGTTGAATGTATCAAATAGCGGATACATGCATGAAACGGTAGTTCATAGGAAAGACATCATCATAGATCTTCCGCCAAAAATAGAAATGTTGAAGAGGAACGTTGCTATCCTAATACCTTTCAACAGAAGTTTCGAACACTATCGGAAAGATACGTGTGCTCTGAGTGTGTTTTTTGACCATTACATCAATGGAACGGTCCTTGGCTACTCTGAGGTTAAAGGAACTGTCTCGGTCAAAAGTGTTTACTACCGTAAGCTCACAACCTCATTTGCTTTATTTACCAAACCTTTTGAGCCTACAGTCTTTCTTGATTCTAGCTTGATGTTGTTCCTCAGCGATTCGCGAAATGATTCGGTAGAACTAGATGTGGTGGCGAGGATGGGAGAGAGGGTGTGAGAGCTGTGTCAATAAGTGGTTGGAGTTGCGCTATAACAGGAATCTACTTAGGGCAACTCTGTTACACGCCACAAGCTTGCCACAGAGCTACCACGAATTGCTTCGTGTAAATCAAACCTACAAATCGCTTACGAATTTTCCATACATCTCGAATTTTAAATTTTTGTCTCAAAAAAATGTCGTAGGATTTTAAAATGTGAGTTAAAACTTACTTTGTGACAAATTTCCTGACATATACCTGACGTTCGTTTGGTAGAATCTGTTATTAACTTTTAATACTGCATTAGATAGCTTTTGTAGACTTAGTTTAACTGAATCCTCAGTCGTAATGGTATCAATCTCAAGGCTCACTATGATATCTATATCCATTTAACAGGTGATAATGAAAAAAAAACGCGAGAGCGGGTGTTCCATTGCAATATTAGAGACGTGCGAATAAGAGGAGGTGAATAAATACGTGCTGGTGTTGAATATCATTTCTTCTTTAAAGGCACATGGATGTTCTTGATATCACACCGGCTATCAGCATAATAGAAAGTAATTGTTTTGTTCACAGCTAACATTTGTGACCTTCAAAACAAATGTGGTGCCTCAGTCGGATCACACTGCGACAAAACATTTATCAGTCCGTTACTCCCTCCGGGCGGGTATCACTGCAAGTGCAATGTTGGCTTTGTTCCATCTCCTTCTTCAAAACTTGGTATGGACAACCATGTTAATCCCGGCGAACGCTGCATCAGAAAACCAAAAGGTAGTTAGGTTTGTTGATAAAATTTACACAAAAATTAATAGATTGTGTCAATTTTTTGTGGGAAAGAACTGCCTCCCGTGCTTTGAAGAGCGAACCAAACTTATAGATCTAATCACTGTTTTAACTTTCTTCTCATCAGAGGTTGACTTAAGCAATATACTCATACTTTTTGTATTGATTCTTTCAGCGATACAACACAGCAACAAGAATCTTGCGTTAACGATGAAAGTAACTGCGTGTTCGACTGACAACTTTGACGGTTGCAAGAAAGAGTCGGGCTGTAAAGAGGTTTTCGCTTTTCGCCGGTTTGTAGTGGATGGTATTCTAAAAACATGCTTTCTTTCACTAAATGAAAACAAACCTTGGCTCATTGTGCATCTGGACGACTATAGGCCAGTGTCTTATGTCCGTGTTGCTGCTTCCCCGAAATTTCCTTTGGATCGTCTCATAGTGTCCGTAGGTATGAAAATACTGCAAGTTACGGATAAATCTAATAGTAAATTTATCTTGTGTTAAGCCTCATTTATCAACCCTTGTGAAAATAAATATATCTGCGATGGAGACTGATCCAGGAGAGTGACAGTCATAGAAGATATACAGGATATAAATGGACTTGGGTGCGAAATAACGGTGTGACTCTTACTTCTGGTAGAGCAAAGGCTCTTCATAATTCCAGTATCTCTATTAAGGTTGAATTTGTGTTGCATTGAGTGTACATCCTCCGGGGCTCGTTGATGCCATGATTGTTTGCTTTTCTTACCATTCGTATTCCATTTCCATTCATTAATTGCAGTTACCTTCTTTTCCAATCTTGATTTAAAGTTGATTTCATTCTTTCGTATCATTTAGGTGAAATAAAAGGAAAGTTAACTCATTTTAAAATGTGTGCATTTCGGCGCGTGTTGGAGAAAGGACAGCAGTTAAGCTTCGGATGTAACGATTACTTGTTCGGAAATGCCGTTCAAATAACGACTAACTCTCGCATACTGAGTTTATGTGAGGTTGAGGTGTACTCTTACTCGTATGGTAAGAACAGTATTTTGCATCACTTATGATTTCATGTAAAATCTCAAACAAGACTATTTCATAAATTCATCCTCCAAATTTCCTAGGTTGCAACTTGATCTACATCAGTCGTGCGGTGTTGGAAGTACTGGCATAATGTTGTTCAATGTTTCCTTTAGGGCGAAAATTTTTTTCTAAAACTAGATTTGAACATTTAAAAAAATAGATTTCTAGATTCTCTTCAGCAACAGCCGACCACAGATGACGTCAAAATGTGGTGGGAACTAACAAGCGGCACGTGGCGCAACCGAGTGTATCACTGATGTTTTTATCACATTTTGATGTCTACTGTGATCTCTTACTGTGCAGACCCACGGTTACATAGAATCAATTTTTTCGTGTGATAATTTGATCTTATCAACTGAATTATCAACTGACGTTTCGAGCGTTAGCCCCTCGTCGGAGCAATAGAGAAATTGTGGGTTGTTTGCGTTTTATTCGCAGATAATGGAGCTAAACTATTTGTGGAAACATGGTAACTAAATGAGCATAATAAAGCAATTAAATGGAAAGCCTTCGTTGATACCGTCAGGGGATTAATTGTGCCGATCTAAAAGATAAATTATTCTAGCGTTTTCACCAACCTATATAGCAAGATTTAGGGAAAGGCAGCAGACTGCCACTTAATGCCTAGAATGATTTGGGATATCAGTGAGTCCAGCCACTGGTTGGATGCGTCCTTGTCAATCTTTTCTACGTCACGCAAAATATGATAGAAAAGCAAAATGTCGTTAATAGTGACGTCATCTTTGCGTCTATCCTCCAATAGATCATAGGTAAATAATCAATCAAAGTGCGTTTATAAATTAACTTATCATATATGAATAATAGATAACTGAAAGTTTTTCCCCTTTCAAAATGCGCTTCCTAGTGTGCAGAACAATAAATAGCCGATTGGATGGTGGATTGCAACGACAGTAAACAAAGCCTCTTGAAAAAGCAGGTTTTAATCGGTCCCAAGATATCTTTCACAAATCCTTGTGACTGGTTGTCTACGCGTGCGTACCGAGGTTTCATCTTCCTTCGGGAGAAAATACCTTTCAGAAATTTGTATAATATGTATTTTGCTAATATGTAATCTACAGACACAGAAACTCGCTATTGTAGATGCCTAAATTGTTTTTAGTATTTGGGATCCCAGATTAAAATATAGAAGCTGATTATTCAAGGCTTGTTGACCATGCTGTTTTTGGATTTTCACAGCGAACGTTGCTTTGCAACCTACATCTAAACTCAAAAAGTCTTTCATGAACGATGGAAATCTCAAGTCATGTTTTACGAAAACAGGAACTGTGTGGTCTCTGGACCTGGGAAATAATGTCCGCGTAGCGGTGGTATTTATATTACATGGTCGTTCAACGTATCTTGAAGGTTCTGAAATAACTGTTGGTGAGTTCAGACAGATGTTATTCTGAAATTACGACTCATACTATAAATCGCGTTTCCATGTGGGCCTGTGGTTACATTGCCAGGTTCAGACTACTTTTTGTCTTTTTCCCTTCACTCTCTAAACCCTTCTTCTGTAAGTTTTTACCAACGCATGGCTTTTTACTGAATTGTCTTTGAACGTTTCCGTGAGTAGAAAGGACTCAGGCCAGGAGTATCGAGCCCAATAGTGTACTGTGCGCTCAAAATTGAACTAGAGGGACCCTAACTGGCAAGACTGTGGGTTTTCTGAAAGACCCCAATGATCGTGAGGACCTTATCGTTTACGGTGCACTAAAGCTTGTATTGAAGTGAGCCATGACTGATGATAGTCCCCTAAGTATCCTATAATACTCCAGTGATCGTGAAGCACTCGATAGTGGGTCAATAGTTTACGGTGTACCAAAGGTTGAATGAAGTGGACAAAGACTACTGATAGTCTCTTGGGCGTTCTGTGACTCTCTAATGATTTTCTGGACCAAATCGTGTATTGTACAATGGGGCTTGTATTAAACCGACCATGACGAGAGTTCTTTGGGTGTTCGCATAAGAAATATTTGTCTGTATTCTAAGTTATAGATATGTATGTCTGTCTGTCTGTCTGGGTATATGGAGTGTTCAAAAGAAGCGGTTCTTATCGCGGTTTGTGCTAAGTCAGGGTAAGTGTCCAGCAGCTGGCTGTACACATAAATGCATAGCTGATTGTACTGTTTTACTATCAACCATGGCTGTCAACTTTGTAATTACAGGTTACTCAATCAAGAAAGAAATCTGTACAACAATTCCTAAATATGAGGAATTGGGAAATTACTTTGAATGCCAGAAGCCGGTTATTGGGGATAGCTTGGAAGTTGAGTTGAAAAGTCGTCGCACTTTTGAAATTTGTGAAGTGGAGGTTTTTCAGACAAAGACAGGTAAAATGCACAATTTTGAATCTTTTTCCAACAGATGTTTCTTCATTAATCAAGATACCCACGATTGCAAACGTTTGAAAAACTTTGCGAAGTACCTAAAGTTTGTATTATTACTTTATAGATCGACCATTTGTTAACTTGTTTCGATTAACAATATATACTACGTAATATTTTGATTCTATTTTCAGTAAACGTAGCTGCAAAGCGTCCTGCTACTGCTTCTTCGAATAGTGACAAAGCATACAGAGGCTGTGATCAGAAAATAGGTATTCTTTTGTTTTGTGCGCAAATGTGCATGTATTTATAGACTTTTCGTCATAATAATTCCTTGCTTGTTCAGTATTTACTAACCTTGTTCGTCTAATTCTTTCTTTCGTCGCAGACAAATCGTTCATTATCAATGACAAATGGGATTCTCAGTGGTGGGCAGTAGACTTGATGGCAGTATGCAAAATTCATTTGGTGCGGATTGTGACAGCGACAGGCTACAAACCGGCTGACCTCAAAGATTTAAAGGTTGAAATAGGTTAGTTACGAATACTTGTGTCAGACGCTTCGCTCAAGGCAACTTGAAATCTTATGCTTCACGACGAAAAAGTCAGAGTATCCTTGCCACATGCTTTGTGACGAGTTCTTCTTGTGAATGAATCTTTGGTATTTCCACATTGATAGGATCTGATGGAACTGAAGTAGCCAGTCTGGATTCTCCAACAGCAGAACCTGTCCAGACTATGATTGTTTCAAAAGACACCAGAACGAAGCTTGTAACCATCAAGATGTACGTTGCCCACAGACTCGCGTTCCGCGAGGTGGAAATTTACAATGGCCCGTTGCTAGGTAAAGATATACAAATCAAAGCAATTTTGACGACTGATGTTAAAAGCTTTACCCTAAATTGAGCGCCGTTTGATGCAGAGCTATTTATGGAATAATTTTCTTGAATTTTTGAGGCTTAAGTTATGGTATTTCAGGGTTGGTTCAATAAATAGCCATTTTGTGAGAGTTTTGACGCGTTAGGCGGCGAAGCCCACGAGAGGCTTGAAACGGAAAAATAAGTTTCTCCACTCAAATATCCTCTCCACTTTGTCCGAGCACCTAGGCCTGGAGTTTCATCAAGCACCCAAAAAACCGCCAGCAACGCAAGCTTTTAATACTGCTAGAAATGTCCTTTATCATAAAAATATAAATTAGCATTCCTATGCTATGCCTTTCAAGTTTTTTTTGTTACGTTTTCTAGTTGTTGATGTCTGTAAAAAGCCTGATATTTGTGGCGACAATTACAAATGTGTGAATAGGAAAAAAAGTCATTCGTGTATTTGTCCAAGTGGATTCCAAATAACAGGGCGATATAGGAAATGCAAAGGTATGTGAAACAATAAGCGGATATTTTGTTTGTTTCAAACGCGATGTTTTAATTTATGAGAACGTTTTTCGTATCAGCTCCTCGCAGCGACTGCTCGTTCAGTCTCGATCTAGTAGATTGCAAATATTTAATACTTATTTGCCGAAGCGAAGTGAATTTTGTTGAATGATTCCCGAGACGAAGTCGAGGAGATTATTCAACAATCTTTATTGGGCCTCCGAAGAATAATTGCTTTAGTGTAATCTCTTAATAAGGTGCTATTGAGTTATTATTGAGTTAGTTGTAAATTCGTGATGTTGATTGAAAATTATAAATTATGCCACAATAGTTCTGATCACTTCTATCGAGATAAGCAGTCAGTTTCTGCTAGAAGTTAACAAGTTCATTTTATTCCGTCAGCCAAAAACTACACATCTTTCTTTTGGAACGTGTAACGCCAAACGTATTAGCATCTTTTTCGCTCTTCAGATGTGTATTTCCTTCTATCACGTAGTTCACCTCCATTGACAAAACGCGAGACAGCTATTTGCCATAATCACCTTGTGCAAGGTAATTATAGCGAGATATGACTCAGTCTTCGACCAATCAGAGCGAGCGCATTCCTCTAATCACTGGAGGTGTTGTTAGTATAAACCACATGGGAGAATAGTGCTTTTCGCGTGGATTTGTTGGCTTGTTCTGAAGTGATTAGCAAGAACCATTTACCTCCGGGCAGACGACGAGACAAAATCGCGTGTGAGAAGTGTAATTTCTGACCAAATTCGATATTTTTGTTAGAAATCTAATATGAACATTTGGCTCCCCTTCGATGAATGCTTGTTAACTATAGCAGCATGCACGACGCCATAAAAGACATGACGTTTGTACCCGTATACCATAGACAGTCAGACACACTCATTCAATACAACTGAGGTGGGAGGGGTTGGCCAGCTTACTTGAAAGGCTCAAAGTCTTTAAAAAAACGTTATTAATTTTCTACAAACAGCTTCAATAGCTGCAGTTTTTTTCTAACTGTGATAGTTTTCCGTTTTAAAACTCTTAGACATCGACGAATGCACTTCTAAAAATGCTTGTCGGAGGCACGGGAAGAACTCTTATTGTAATAACACCGCTGGATCATATGAGTGCTTGTGCAAGGAGGGTTACGAAGCTGTGAGTGATCCCAAAGGAAAACTTCAAACATGTCGAGGTAAAACGTTCTTGTTTTGGCGACAAACTACTTGGAAACTACTTTATCAGTTGAAATAAGCCTTCACACGGTTGGTCATGTGACTAACAATCGGTATTCTTCCTCATGGAATTTCATGATTTCAAGAAATATGAAGATCATGATTCATTCAGACGAATGTCACTGAAGGTGAAGATTTCATGACCATTTGAAATCTTAACAATTTCATGCTTTCTTCCTCAGAAGACAGAAATTTTCCATAACTATTTGTAGGAAAATAAGTACATAATATTGATCATCTTGCAAGACAGAAAGGGAAAATGTTATAGCAGTTACAATGTTATAGCAGCTACAAAACATAGCCAACGATTTGAATGAAAATCATGTAAGCGTTACAGGAGGAAAAAGCGTTTTCTTTCCATACAAATCCTCCTGTTTTGGAAAGTCTTTTTTCCTTTGATAGAAAGGCCATATTACTATGGTCATTATCAATATTGTTGTCATTATTATTATTATCCTATTTATTATTATCTAAATGGTTATAATTATTATTATTATTATTATGATTATGCAATAGAAATCGCACATGTTTTAGCCATATTGGAATCAACTCAGTTTCTAAGACGTGAAGTCCTTTATTTGCTTTAGCTGTCTAAAATGTCTCAAATTATTCCCAAGAAAAACAAAATGGATGTGAAAGTGAACATAGTTTGTGCTCTAGTGTACAGCTTTGGTTGAACTCGTGCCATGAGCTAATAATTTTGCTATACTATATCTCGTATTCTTTTCTGAATAATTTTCAGACAAGGATGAATGCAGTAATCCAAAATTGAACGAATGCAGTGATGGTACCACATGCGTCAATAAGATGGGCAGATACACTTGCAAGTGTGCTGTGGGATATGAGGCAGATAAGGGAAGTAAAGATAACGGCATAGACATCAAGTGCATAGGTAAGAACATTATTATTTTTTTAAAAGTATTAATGAGACTGTCAAACCACCACGATATGGTATTACAATCAGTCGGATCAGCGAGCGACGTGAGACATTTCGTTACAGCTTACACCAAATTTTTCCAACATGGGGACTATTCATTAAGTCTTGCTTTTAGATATAAAATGACAAATGATCAAATGACAAAGGGTGCATGGAAAATGAAATTTGCAAAGACTTTGGAGGTTCGCCCCTGTGTGATTGTAAACAAGGTTATCATATGAAAGACAAACGTTGTGTTGGTAAGGGCATTACCTTTATATTTATGAAAAAGAAATGTCAAACTAAGTATCCATTACATCACAGTTACATCTTAGTGTAATGATTTAGTTTTGACAGTCTTGAGGTCAAACAGAATCATCTTGTATGATATAACTTTCAGTGCTCAGCTATTAAACACCTTTTCGCTTCCAGTTAAATAAAAGCCCATCAACAAGGGTGAATTGCATGTTAGTAAAGACAAAATAATTATGTGTCGGCCCTCTTCATCCTAAAGATACAAATGAGTGCGCTGAGGACAAAAATTTCTGCGGCCTCAACTCCGTTTGTACAAACACCGTGGGATCTTATCACTGCAACTGTGAAGTGGGCTTCAAGAGAAATATGAACGATGGAAAGAACTGCTCTGGTGAGTAGTAATAAATATTCAAACTCCTGCTTGAATTAAACGATTCTGATGATACGTCACCATAGACGACAGTTTATCACATAAAATAAATAGAGGTGGGTCTGCTCAGGAACATCAGTTACGCACTTAGTTATGCCTGATATGCCACTTTTATGTTTTAACCACATTTGACGTCATCTATGATCTATTTCTGAACAGACCTACAGCAACATGGAAACCATTCGTTAAACAGACGCACAGCCTGATATCTATCCATTTTGAACAGGGAGATCCACTTAAGTAGCTTGGGGTTTTGTTGCAGTTCCGCACCTAAGTGATTACTTGGCGTTGTTGAAAGATCGCTATTTCGTCAATCTTGTACCTTTTCTTAAGTTTTCCATCTTGCTTCTCTTCAGATGTTGACGAATGCACCGATGTTCACGCGTGTGGTGCCCATATGACTTGTGAGAACACGTTTGGATCGCATTCTTGCACATGTCACCAAGGATTCCGTCTGGACAAAAGAAGTAAAAGCTGCACAGGTAATCCATACGTACATGGGTAATTTTCAAGAGTCAAAAACAGCAAATGATAGAGGATTTTCTTTACACGATTACGCATATGATAACGGAGGGCTTATTAGCAAACCACTCAGAATGATTTGAAGAAATAAGGCAAGCATCAGCTCCATGGCAATTTTTTTGTGAACAAGCACCGGGGTCCAGCTTCTTTGGATCGATTGACGCTGTCGTTTTTAGAGTGAGTAAGAAGGTAACTTAACAGTTATGTTGAATCTAACCCTATTTGATGAAAAGATCGCTATGGTTTAATTGGATCAGAGTTGTTTGTGTTTAAGATTGAATTGAATATGTGGAAAGAGCAGGTAGGAAGCTCAGAAGTTTATCTTGATTTTAACCGCATGTTTTGTTATTTTCCTCTCTCTTGGTCTGACCCCAGGGAAGACTTTATAGATTCGCTTTTAACAATAACAAACACATAAAAAAAGAGATCAAATGCAAATAACTATTTTCTGCTGTTCGTAGATATCGACGAATGCAAGGAAGAAACATTCAATTGCACAGAGCTTTTAAAGTGTAAAAACCTGATTGGCGCTTACGAATGTGGCTGTGAGGACGGTTTAGTCGAGACAACAGATGGAACTTGTCGAGGTAACACATCATATTCTTGTAGGATTTTGCCTCTTAAAAAGGTTCTAATTGACATAAGGGTTAAGTTAATTGAACCCGAGCTAGAAGAAAATAAGTATGTCAATATGTGTCCAAATAATAAATTCACGGAGAAAACAGACTTCTATGTTATATGAGCCCTATACAATTGTCTTCCATCATTTTTGAATAAATATTTGCTCCTTTAAGCCACCATCATGGAAATTCAACGTATCTTCGACATGTTCTGCTATAGGCTGATCTTCGTAGATCTCAAATCATTCTTCCCCCCTTAACAACATTTCTGTTGCTAATGATGTTTTTTCTGTTGTTTTCATTTGTGCTCCTCTGAATGGATTTGACTGTCTTACCAGAATTACCCCCCTGCTCCAACGGCCAGTGCAAGAGGAATGCAATTTGTAAAGATTTTAAAGGCACTTACCTGTGTGATTGCAAAGGAGGCTATTATTTCAGTGGAGTAGGCTGCGTTGGTAAGTACATTTCCTCGACCAACTTTATTTAAAAAAAGAGATCAAATGCAAATAACTGTTTTCTGCTACTCTGCTGCTCCTTTGTACCACCCCTCAAATTCCCAAGAGTGCCATATGGCATTCTAGGTAGTACTCGATTCTAACTAATGAAAAAGGTCGATCTCTATTGTTTCCATGGCTCTATTGTATTTTAACCAATAGAAATAGCATATAGGCATGAATCAATGCTTCTTTCAGGGTGGCGTTCATATAAAGTTTTTGAGAAATCGTGAGTTGAAATTAGGAGTTTTTTAATGGTGTCTCTCTTCGAGACGAGAATTCTAACGGTTTGCTCAAGAACGCGAGTTTGTCAGAAATTCCTCTGACTCTGAGTCTAACAACATATCTGTGTCAACTGTAAACACAGAAATTTGTCGGATTTTGACCTTAGCGAAGTAGAAAGCGGCGATGAAGGTGATGAAGAGTGGACTACTGAACCTGCTCCAGTACAAGTTCATCCGTTTGTGGCAAATACTGGATCTATTAGTGTCACAACAGGGTTTTCAGCACTTGATTTCTTTAAACTGGTGGGCTTTTGTGAAAGTAACTTTGATCGCATTGCCGAGGAAACAAATCGTTTTGCTCGCCAAGCGATGGAAACTCAAGCAGATTCCGCTTGGCGTGAACTCGACGCCAAAGAAATCCGAGCATTCTTTTCCGTGAACGTCCTCTTTGGCATCAAACAACTACCAGAAGTTTATTCATAATGGTCAAAAAATCTTCCTCTTGGAGGTCCAGCGGTGCAGAAGATTTTCCCAAGAAACCGCTTCGCGAAAAATGCACAGTATCTGCACTTGAGTGACAAGAGAACAGAGCTGCCACGTGGACATGAAAACCATGAAAAGTTGTTTAAAGTCCGTCGCTTCTCGATTCAATCGTAAATGCCATAAAAACGGATTACAGGCCGTCTCAAAATGTTTCAATCGAAGAAGCAATGATTCCTTTCTAGGGAAGACTTTCGATGAAACAGTATATGCCCTTGAGACCCACGAAAAGAGGCATAAAAGCGTGGGAATGCGCGGATTCATCAAACAGTTTCGTTTGCGACCTTGATGTTTATACACAGGAAAACAACAATGGAAATCCTGAACAAGGACTTGGATACCGTGCTGTCCATAATTTGACTAGACGTCTGGTTGACAAAAACCACCATGTTTTGTAGACAATTTTTTCAACTGCTGCTTAAAACGAAAAAGGGAACATGGTGCAGTATGGCCTGCGAACTTTGCAACAAATGGGTTGCTTGGAGTGCTTCAAGAACCACATCACAGAGAATCTTGCTTGATGAATGGCGGCAAATTTGAAATCTCTCGCTTTGAAAGATTTTGAAATTTTTCTTCATAATTGAAATGATAGACCTTTGAGAACTCCAGAAATAGTTTTGAAAATTTTTAAACATTTCTTCTTTTTGTTTTGGAGCTAAGTAGATCTAATTTATTGAACAGTTTTGAGCCTCACGTTGTGACACTCGTAAGTTTAGGGACAACACGCATGACGTTGTTCAGATTTTTTATCATGAGTAAACTTTACAACTTCATATCTCTAGAATGTATGCCTACAAAAAGATGGTTTTTGCAGCAAAAGAAAGCTTGTTATCTTGAAAACAAGGCTTGTTCTAGTGTTTTTTTGTGTGAATGAGTAGTTTTGAGCAATTGATTAAATAGTGCAGTGGTGTGAATTTGTGTGTTTCATGGCTGATTTGCCTCGGGCAGGAGGGGCAATGATTAAAGATTAGAGTTGAAGCCGAAAAAATGTTAAGCTGTTGCTCCTTAAGCCACCATCATGGATATTCAACGTCTCTTCAACATGTTTTTCTATAGGCTGATCTTTGTAAATTTTAAATCATTCTTCCCCCTTTAACAACATTTCTTGTGCTCCACTGAATGGATTTGTCTATCTTACCAGAATTACCCCCTTGCTCCAATGGCCAGTGCATGAAGAATGCAATTTGTAAAGTTTTTAAAGGCACTGACCTGTGTGATTGCACAAGAGGCTATTATTTCAGTGGAGAGGGCTGTGTTGGTAAGTATATTTTCTTGACCATCTTTATTTCACGAATAAAACATTAATCGAACAATACCAGCGTGCACCAATTACCTTGCATGGGTGTAATACTAATAACAAACAATTGTTTTATGCAGTCAGCGGCAAAAAGCTGTTTCCTCTCTCCACTCAACTCTCTCTCATACAACAATAGAGAGCTTTCTTTTATGCAATCTGAGGATCAATATCAGTATCTGGGCAACTGCCCGCCTACCCCTCCCCTGACCCAACCCTAACTTTTTATCAATTGACTGTTGTTGAGTTAGGGGAGGGGTAGGTAAGCAGTTGCCCAGATACTGATATTGATCCCAATCTAAAAGAGACTGGAGGTCCGCCCTTATCATTTCAACAACAACAATAGCCTCTTTTATTGCAAAACAACAACAACAACAGCCTCACTTACGGTAAAACAGTTATGCTCACCTCGCTTTTCACTTGGACGCCTAACTTTTCATAGCAGATTCGAATTTAAAAATGCGCGCTTTAGTGATTCAGCCGCTGAGTTTACTCCCGGTTAAGCAAGGTGGGAAGAACGGTTGAGCTCTTCCAGATTGTAGAGGCCATTATTGATTGATTCATGTAAAAAATCAATTTACGAAAACAGAGGTCAGAGTCAAATCTCCGAAGAAAATATGTATTAAACTTGTTCAGCGGTGAATCACAACATTTGGCCAAAATAAAACTCCAAAACGTCTCAACAAAGGGGTAACAAACACGTGATATTTTCTACAATTCAGACGCAGCAGGTATTCAATTCAAGTTTTCAAGATCGGCACACAAAAAGTTCCTGTCCGGTCCTTAAGTCCACTCATAACATAATGTCTCCTTTTCTCATTCTGCAGACTACAATGAATGTGAATTGAACAAAGATATCTGTGGTTCAAACTCTGTTTGTTCAAACACTGAGGGATCTTACAAATGCAACTGCGAAGTTGGCTACAAGAGTGCAAATGATGGTGGAAAAAAATGTTTCGGTGACTTTTTGTTAATGTAACCTGCTAGTATAACCGAGCAAGTTGCTATAGGTGTTAAATCACTTTTCACCGACTAACATCTTTTATCCTAAAAATGGATTCGTTAGATAAAAATGTCGTTCAGCAGCCGGGAAAAGGTTCGTATGGAAATACACCGTGCTTGACGTCTTGAAAACGGCTTGAGGCCAAGGGCCGTTCTCAGGACCAAGTGCACAGTTTTCTTCCTTAGCCTTCTTTGTTCTGGGCCCGAATGGTACGGAAAAACTCTGTACAGTAATCCATACAGTGAAAAGCTGTACTGCGCGAATATCGCGATTAGCTAATGAGATTCGAGGATTAGAGCTTCCGGGCCACACAGATGTTTCAGAAAAAAACAAGGTCTCAGATAACAGCACACTCTCGTTGAGAGATGTATGCTACTTTGGATCTAAGGATGTATTTTAACTTTTAACCTTTGGCCTCTTCTACCAATGTTACTGTAAAATTTGTATCATCTTTCCGGGGGCGGGCTACTTTTATTGAATAATAAAAGCACAGGAAGGTCTGACATGAGCTTTAAAATGAAAGGAAATATGATACTAAGGTATAGTTATTAAAATAGTTCGATTTAAATATAATGATTCTAAATGGATGCAGGGAGAAGCCCTATTCGGAACCAAAGTTTAAGATTTATGTCACAATATTCAGTTTACGAGATTAACCGCATTCTTATTAATTTGCATTCTCTTAATTAAGAGGCCAATTTAAAAATTTGTTTTTCTGAAAAATAATCACATCGCGCAGTGTGCTGCTAATAAGATATGTCTTTATTCTTGACCTATTATAACACTCATCTCTCTATGAATACTCGAGTCAATACGCTAGTTTACAATATCTTTTTACATGTGTTATTTCAGATATCAACGAATGTGCGAAATTGGAGATATGTGGTAATACAGCAACCTGTGAGAACACTATGGGATCATACACTTGCACATGCCTGGATGGATTTACTTTCGATTCACGAAAAAGGATATGCGTGGGTAAGAAATGTCGACTCTTTTTCCCCTCATACTAAGTAAGGTATGCTCGACGTCCATAACTATTTGTAATAAAGCACGTGTTTGTAGAAGTTTTGAGGGTGATTTCTCTAGTATATAGTCCATCCCTTCTCTCTTGCAGATCATGATGAATGCACGACTGGTCAGCCATGCAATCCCAATATGATTTGTAAAAACACATTTGGATCGTACACCTGTGGCTGTCGCGAAGGATATCGTTTAGACCAAATGCATTGCGCAGGTAATGATAAGGTAGAGGATACGATTTTTAAGTTGTTAACTGCGTTTAAAATAGATAAAAATTTAAAAATGTACATAAGAACAACTCGGGTCTATAACAGAATTCTCAAAAATTTTTTAAGGGAACATAGCTAATGACAGCTGACGGTAAATGCATGCTGCTCAAATGTTGTACGAGGTCTGGCGTTCATACCTACGAGGCAATGATAGGGCGAATTTGCTAAATGACAATCTTCTAGCACCACAATCCACGGCTGAAGGTGACTTTATCGCTTTTTTTGCTGTCGGTGAGCGAAAATTTCAAAAATGATAAAAGAGTTTCTTTGTTATAATTTGTTTATTCATTTTTTTTGTTTTTACCACTCACCTTATGGTACGATTACACAAAGCACTGAGACCTTCATGTCAGCGTAAAATGGGGTTTCTCTCATCCAGACCCTTTGCATTCCGTGGACACTTAAATTGCTACCTCCATTCAACCGAAGTAGCCTTATCCCCAAAATTGGGAATCATCTCTTAGAGGTCTTCTCGATTGAGTTGTTCATGCCGAATTAATCGTGAACACAAAGGGATGAAAGGTGATGTGTCCTTTCTGTTTTGCATAGAAATTGATGAATGCAAGGAAGAAACATACAACTGCCCTGAGTTCTCAAGTTGTAAAAACCAAAACGGCAGTTATGAATGTCTCTGTAAGGGTGGTTATAGAAAGGCATCGGATGGAAATTGTTCAGGTAATGTTTTAAAGTCGATTTAATTTCTTGGAAAAGTTTAATTTTCGGCCGTAGAGCTGAGGTAACTATATCCAAGCTGATAGATGCATGCTGGTTCCTATCCAAACAATTGGTGCTTACGGTAAGGAAACAATATCACCATTAATACCTGTCATTACTGTCCTCAGAAATTTGTCATCCAGAATGCGAAGCAAATTCATATTGTCAGAATGGAAAGTGTCAACAAGGTCAGTGATTGATTTTATTAAATAGAATAGGATGGTTTGGAATAAAATAGGATGTCACAACAGAACAGGATGAATAAAATGGGGTAGAGTAAGATAGCATGGAATACGTTGAGATAAAAAAGAATGACATAGGATTAGTAAATTATAAGTTTTTCCAGCATCACTTACTTGGCCTCTATCACAAGCCGAACATTTGTTGAGCCCCATTTATGAAGCGTCACTGTAATTGTTATGCATAAAATCCTTGGTTGCATAAAGAAGTAGCCGGTGACATGAATTAAACATACCCAAAGATGAATGAAATTTTGCAGCCATCATCTGTCATAAATAAACTAGTCTTGGAAGCTTGGGGCGGCAAACAACAATCTCCAAGACAACTGTATCAGTTCGTTTGTGATTAACTGATTATGTTGTAAATATTGCAGTATAGTATGTGTACAAACTACATTCTAACTTTTTCTCGTATTATTGCAGCGTTTCTTGAGTCATCAGGCGTTTCATTCCACTCCCGTGTTTTGTTCCTTATGATTGCGCTGCTGTGTTCCTTGGTCCTGCTGTGGTTCGTGGTTTTGCTTTGAATGAAAAAATTTTCCTATTTTACGGCTTCTTAATATACTTTTTATCTCATCATGGAAACTTGAATGATTTTGGAGAATGATCGTATCAAACTCGTTTATCTTAGCTTCCAGTACTCATGTTGAAAATTCATCGCGCTCGAAGAATGATCATATCAAGATTAAGAAAATTAGGAAACAAAACTGAACTGGCACGAAATCATAATGAAATGAGGCAGACAGACATAATTGTCAATGAGGACAAAAACTTGTAAATGGCAGCTAGCACAGGAAAAAATAAACCGAGTCCTTTATTTTCTGTTTGATCTTTCAGTCTTAAATAATACATATAGATTTAGAAAATCCTGGAAGTGGAGAGTTTATTTTACAGCTTTTAATTCACTTTTTCAGAACTTCTCAATGGTTACTGTATAGTTTTATTCTCAAATTAAGAGATTATTAGTTAGTTTTTTGTGTAGTAAGGAACTTGGTTAGCTGATGTAGGGAACTCAGCATATGAGCGGTGTGCAGCGAACTTGCAACGAATTTGAACGTAGCAAACTCGCTATCGATAGCGAAACTAGCGTAAACTCGTCGTTATACTCACAAAATATGCTTCTTTGAGAGATAACGTCTCACGGCTTTGATAAACTCCGAAATTCCAATTTTACACACACATACTATAGTTTGCTAACTACTCTTCCGTCACAAAATTTGCTTGAAATACAGACAGAGTAAGTCTGATGGAAAATTCGAAGAACAGCACAATGGTCCTCTCCGATGTAACGCTCGGCGGTGGCGATATTTCGATTATTCGCGAGGAACGTAACGATATATCAGCGATACATCGCGGCTGCCAGAACAATGGCCCTGCGATATATCGCCGATATAAAGGTCCATCTAAAATATCGTTCAAATCTCGCCGATATAGCGTGATTATCGCGATATTCAGGAATGATCGTTTGCATTTCTTTTGCAAAGTACCGTAGAGGAGGCTGGAAGGTTAGACAAATTAAAATCATTTAACTCTGTGTATACCATTGATGCGGTTCCTTTGGTTTCCCATTTCAGTTGGCTCGTTCGGAAATAAACTAAGTGCTTCTCGAATAGCTTCGTCCATAGAGCATGATACAACCGCCATGCTGTTGTTGAACTGATGCCATTATCACATGATTACGTCGTTATTGCGTTCACATATGAATGAATGGTTAGATTCTATGGACGATATCGCCCATAGGAACTCTTTTCAGGGATACTAACCGACAATTCGAAATCCTGCGCGTTCTAAGTAAATTATCATCCGATTCTGGTGAATTGAGTTTCTTTTCAGCAAAATACTAATGTATGGCTCCTGAAAATCACCAGTTTTTCGATCAGTTGTGCTGGGATGTTATTAGCTGTGAAGACTCAAGTAGCGTAGCTCAGTTGTGATAGATTAGTTTTAATCCGTCGATAAAGTTTGGTTGTTCTGTTCGGCTTGTTGGTCATTTCAACGTCGTTAAGAGTTCAGTGTTTTATGTAGATAGTTTTTTGTTGAGGGATAGATTCATTTATTATTACTGAGAGATGAAAATAAGCGCATGGCGGTTTTGCAGTGGATAAGTCATCTCTCTTTGGATTTTGTCTGTCTCCAAGAGACTCACGTGACCTCTCTCTCCGAGAGTTCGTCCTGGTTTTCCTCTAATGGTTTTTCCTCTGTGGTCTCCCCTGGTAGTGTTCATTCTTGTGGTACTGTTATTCTTTTCCGACCTGCTTACTATTTTCGTGACTTCCAGACTGATGACAGTGGTCCTTTCGTCTTGGCCGAATTCCAAATTCGTGAATCTCTCTTTCGTATTGCTTGTGTGTATGCTCCTAATAGAAATCTGGAGAGAGCTGAATTTTTTTGCTATGTTTCCTCCGCCATTGATCCGTCGGTGTCGGTGAAGAAAACCTCTTTTTTACCATGTGCCATCATTCAGAATTCGATCAAATTACGTATGTAAATTACCAAAGAAACGATCTTCAAAATGAACTAAAGTTTTCTTTGGGCAAATGTTTTCTCGCGACGTAGGAAACTCTTCAAAATAGCACACGGAAGACATAAAATCACGCCATATGTTGATTGCGTGACCAAAGAGTTAAGGAGCATTCCTGCCTTTGAAACTACTCAAAATCGTACAGAATACCTTTTTCAGAAACAAATAACAAATTTATACTCAGTTTTGTTAAATTACTTTGTCTTTTATCATTTGAAGTTTGTTTCTGCAAAAACTTTGCTGGTCTCTCGCATACGAATCTTTAGTTTCTGCCCATTGTTTAACTTTATATGTGCTTACCCGTGCCTTTTAACTAACACTCGATAGAAACCAACAAAGTTTTCAAAGGGAGGTTTTTGCAGGAGCTAAGTGGACTAACTGAGGGCTTGCATGACCTAATTAGCATAATTGCAGTTATGGTCGCTCGACGGTCATTTTTTGAAATAAGCACAATTACGTAGAAAAGAAAAAGGAAATCTAAATATCCATTTGGCTCTGATTTTGCCTTTATTTTTACCCAATTTGATTTTTTCTGCTGGAGTGAAAATACTTTTTAATTACCGCAACGTCTGTTCGCCTTGTGACGTATAGGCAAGACAATTAAATTTTACAAAACTTAATTAACCGCGAAAGAGTCATTATTGCTTGTCTTAACTGTCACTGCTCTTAACAGCAAATAACCTTTTCGGCGCTTCTAACAAACTTCAGCTTCTTTGTTCGGTAAAAACACAGTTGCGAAACCGTGTCAGCAGGACTGTACACAAAAGAATTCACAACTAACAGCAGCTGCAGGGACCATCAAACATTGTCATTCATTCCCCATTTGCCTGACCTTGGCAGCCCACGACAAGGCTTGTTAGAATATCGACATACGGCTTCTTACTCTTAACGTTGACCTGGGAAGTATCGAGACCGAAAAAAGTACAAATGTCATTTAATACCTAAATTGAAAAGTTTGAAAGCTTAGCATTCTTAAGAGCGACTCTCTATAGGGACCGAGTGAGATTGGAAAAATGTGGCACAAGGTCGGAAAAATGGACTCCCTGATATTTCGTCCAGAGATAACCTATAGTATGCTAAGAATCGTGATATAACTCCTGGGTTCTTGAGAAAATTACCAAAAACCGTCGACCACCCGTCAAGCCGAAAAATCACAGAAATAAGGTCACTTTTCATGATCAGATAATCGAACTCGCGTGAAGGCGCATAACAAATTATGGTTTTCCTTAGTTTATAATTTTATTTAAGAGGTATTGCTGAGCTGCCTTGATGTCTGGACAGAGGTCGTTTTTGAACCTTTTCCGCGATAGTCGAACACCGCTAGATTCAATAAGTGACAAACTTGTAATACTAATTTATTTTATCATTGTTCAATGCCCGAGTGTTGGGATGACATGATACAGTGCGAGTTGTGCGAGGAATGGTTACACATGAGCTGCGAGGTATTTAAGACTGCCCCGGAGGGTGAGTGGCTCTGCATTGTCTGCAGATTCCCAGACTCTAGACGTCTTCGTAATTGTTAAGGTGTTGTTTCGGATCCCTCAACA